CCCACTGACATGCTGTCGTTTGTCTGTGCCTCTGTGCACGATGTGCCCCTGCCTGACGTCCCCTTCAAACCTGAACAGCCTGAAGGACTTCCATTCACTCTTCGAGACCCTGCTCAAGTGCCTCCTCTTCTGAGAAGTTTCCCTTTCCTGAGCAGGCTTGACCAGAGCCTTCCTTCCTTTCACTCACCAGCATATCTAACCCATTCCTTTGGCACAGCATGTAATGTAATGTTGTAGTGACCCATTCCACTAGGCTTTGAGCTCCACAAGAGAAAGGGCAAAGATGGAGTCCTGGCTGTATCCTGCCCCCAGCGTGTGCCCTGTCCCCAGCCCCAGTGCAGGAGTTAACACTCAGTTCATGCTGGATGAATGAGTGGATGGCAGAATGAATCTAGCCATGGAAAGAATGGTCACAGAACCAACCTGGAAAAGGAGCAGAGTAGAAGGTGCACGGAGGCGGTGGCCACACTGACATGGCCTTTGCGAGGTTGAGAAAGGTTTCATGCCTGCGTTGTAGACTTGCTGGGCTGGTTGCTGTCTACCCTCAGAGACAGAACCTCATTCACGGGACCTGAAATCCTGCACTGAGCTTCTGGTCCAGGCTCCCAGCCTGTAAGAGCTTCTCCCTGCCAAGGGCTATGTATTAATAATCTATGACATCTGCATCCCACTCAAGGTGGGGCCACCGAGGCATGGACTTTCTCAGGTAGAAGCCAGGATCTCATTATTTGACTGGTCATGTCACTTTTATTAGATGCAGGTTAGCACAAAGTTAACCCTAAACAGAGGCAGGGACAGCTGAGGATATCCCCCACTCCTCAGATTATTCTTAATTCATATGTTTACTCATTCATTCATTCATCCATCAGTTAGAGTTCAACACAGGGCGTGCACATGGATGCTCAGAGCAGCAATCCTCATAAGAGCCGAAAACTGGAATCAACCCAAACACTATTGGGGGTAGAATAGCTAAATAACGTGTGGAATATTCCCACAGTTCCCACCACAGAATACCACATAGCAGTGAGAGTGAATGAATCACAGCCACGCACAAAACGTGAGTGATCACAGACGTAATGTTGAAAGAAAGAAGCCAGACAGAAGAGACATGATTCCATTAATAAAATGTTCATAACCAGGCAAAACTAATGCATGGTGATAGAGGTCAAGAGCAGGTCACCCTGGGGGCAGCGATAGTGACTGAGGGGTTGAAAGGAGGTGTCTGGGGGCTGGTCATATTTCTTGATCTAGGTGGAGTTACACAAGCATGTTCGCTTTGCAAAAACTTGTTGAGCCGTCCAGTTGTCGTTTGTGTACTTTTCTGTGTAAATGTTGTACTTTAAGTAAAAATTCACCCAAAACCAAATCAAAACCTATGGCTTTCCACCATATGTGAAGCAGCGTCTTAGGTCAAGGGGACAGAAAGAAGAATAAGACATGGTCTTGATCACCGCAGGTCACAGGGTAAACATCAAGGGTGTCTGGGAGGCGCCTGGGGAAGGACGTGACTGAGGATGAGGGGGACGAGCCCAGCAAAGGCTGCGGAGTCGTGTCGGTCTTGGGAAGCGCATGGAGACACTTCACACGGAGAGCCAGCCACTCCCTGCCCCGTTCTCTCCCACCCTGAGCGTCCCGACAGCATGCAGGTCCCTCCTGTTTCTGTGCTGTGTGTGACTGGGCCTGTCCCCTCTCCTCAGGGAAATAAGAGTGTGTGCCTCTCTTTTTGGACACAGTCCCCAATTCCTCGAACCAGGTTGTGGGCGGCAGGGTGGACACACCTCTGGGGAAGACCCTGGCCAGCATGGACTACTTCTTCTTGGAAGGGGCTCGGAAGAAGCTGGAAGTCCAGCTGCAGCCTGTCTAGGCGACAGAGCTCGGCCACCTTCCTCAGGTGGGTGGGGGGACGGGAGGCCCGAGCTGCCTGGCCCATGACAGTACCCATCAATACCCCTCATGTCAGCCCGGATCTTGACTGTCCCTGAGCCCCACGACAATACGCGAGAGGGCCCTCGTGGCTCATTTTACACGAGTAACTTGCCCAAGGCCATGTAACCCCAGCACTTCCAGCGCAGGAGCCGTGGACACCCCAGGAAAGGGAGTCCTGCACTGGGGTCAGGGGCCGCCGCCTGGGTTCGGATCCCGCTCCTGATGCTGACAAGCTGGGTAACCTCAGGCGGGTTGTTCACCCCTCCGTGCTCCGTCTCCCCATCTGTAATATGGTGTATGTGTTTCCTAGGGCCACTGGAACAAAGCACCACAAACCCAGCGGCTTAAAACAGGGGTGTATCGTCTCAGGGCTCTGGAGGCCAGACGTCCGCCAGCATGGAAGC